TTGCCAACCGCGCTCTGAACACCTCCACCGGGATGGTCACCAGCCTGGCAGACTCAGTATGTCCAAGAACCAAACTCCTCTCCCAAACCCGTCCTCCCTGCTTCCATGGTGGTCTGCTGGCCTCAGCCACACACAGCCCGCTCACCACCTCCGATCCAGCCTGCCCCTTGCGCTGCCTGTGAGAGTGTTTGCCCCGTCCGTTCACTTCTCTCCCCGTCCCTCTGCCTGAGGCCCCTCTTTACCAGAATGCCACTGCTTTGTCCCTGACGGTTTGTTCTCCCTCGTCTTCTCCGCGGCATGTGGTTCCTGCCCCTACCCCATTGCCTTCCTCTTGCTGTGTGCTCACGGTGCACCCCGGCCCGGAAAGCAGGGGCTCCCCTCCGCCTGCAGAAGGTCCTTCTCCTCTGCGGGCACTCCGTGTCTCCATAAGGCGGCCCTTCTCACTTTCCTGCTTTCCTCCTTTTCCCCAAGAACTCTGTGCTTTACAAGCCCGAGTGCTCCTCATCGCCAGCTGTGCTCTGTGTTGTGCATTTGAAACCTCCTTGGTGTGACCTACTCTGTAGGAAATGTTCTCTTCTCCAATTTTTATGTTCCCTTAAGCACAGCTCAGATACTGCTTCCCCTGTATGGTCAGCCCTGAGCTGCCCAGTGCTCTTGGGGTGCTCCCTGCGCTGGTGTTGCTCCCTTCGTGGGTGCTGCTCCCTTCGCGGGTGCTGCTCCCTTCGCGGGTGCTGCTCCCTTCGCCGGTGCTGTGCTGCGTGGCGGGAGCGGAGCAGGCCTGAGCCCTGGTCTCCAAATGGCCCTGCTGGCCCTGCATGGACAGAGGCCCACGGGAGAGATGCCTTTTCTTGCCGTTGGGCCTTCTTCCCAGCGCCCGTTTCCTTGTTGCCAGGATACAGGTTTGAAAGTTTTACTTCTCAAAACATAGTCTTGAGTTTATTTACGGTATAACATTATGTATAACATTAAATTCGGCAAAAAAGCCAGGAGGTTTAAGTGCACATAGATGGCCCTTCCCCATTGCCCCATGCAGTATGCTAATTAACTCAGTGAACAGAATGCATAACTTTCAGTAAAGCTCTTAATTGTACCTTTAGGAAGTGAGATTTACATAAGCTGCACAGGCTTCATTGGGATCAGAAGTTAATCTTATAGCGAATACCTGCTTGCTCTCAGTCCAGTTCTGTCAATGACCTGGTCTCCCCCTTTTGAGCTGGTTTATGTAAACTGTACGGGGAAGGGGGGTGAATGGGGACAGGTGTGAGGGAGAGCTGGAAAAGGCCTTACACAGGATTCTGTCACATCTGTCCGCGGGACCCCCTGAGCGTCATGCCTGACGTGTGTGTCACTGAGGAGCCAGCTTCATCTGAACTAAAGCACAGCCTCTCTGAGCCAGCACAGCCTCTCTGAGCCGGAACAGCCCGGACACGGGAGCGAACCCGCTCTGGACTGTCCCCTCTGGGGTGGCTCTGACACGATGATTATTCTCCTGCAGTCCCCTCCTCTGCGGTCTCAGATGGCGAGGTTGTGTCCACCCAGATCTGGTGTGAACTTCTTACTAAATGTCAGCTCTCAGCATTCCAAAGGGCAGCGTGTAAGCCCCAGGCGATATATTTTCACAGAATTTTCAGCTGGGAAAGCATTTCCTCTTGTTCAGGGCAAACAGAGCCCCCTGCCAGCTCATAAAACGCTAGCTCTCTTAGCTTTGAATCAGGGCTTTAAAACCATTTAGTTCAAAAGGGAAAAATTTTTTTTTAAGTTTCCTGGTTCAGCTTCATATGGAAAGCACGCCTTCCAGGGCCAGAAAGGGGTGTCTTCAGTTTCCAGAGAAGCATCGCAAACCTCTTCCTTCCTTTCATTCTCAGGGGGAAAAACACATTTAGGGTGTAAGAATGTCTCCAATCATGTATATTTTCATATCAAAAAGGGGAAAGACGGTATTTCATTGTTTCGCTCATGTTTAAATAGGCTTTTCCCAATGGGAAGCGGAAATATTTAAAGCTGGTGTCTCAGAGATGGCAGGTAAGGGCCGACCTCGGGATTCTACAGGGCGGGGGGTGTTTCCTCAGCAAAGGTCTGGCCCTTCTGCGGCCTCCACCCAGGCGGGAGGACAGGACCCCCAGGGCGGCCCCGGCCCCGGCCCTCTCAGGGTGGGGAGCCTTTCCTTCTTGATGGACTCCTCCCGAGGACTAGTGCATCTGATGGACATCTCTTGGGATAACGTATCCTTTATAGGGTGCCCTAGGAGTCCATTCGGCTAACATACCGCAGGCCGGGACCTGGGAACCAGCATTACGGTGTCACTGCGCACAGTCCTGGGGCCGGGAGGGCCGAGATCAGGGCAGCGCTGCTGGCCTCCCGGGAGGACGGCCTTCCTGGGGAGGAGCTCTGCTGAGTCCTCTGAGGATGGGGCAGGGCTCCCTCCAGAGCCCACAGACACGAGTCCCGTTCCCGAGTGCTTCCCAGAGGCCTCTGCGAACACGATCGGCGGGGCCACAGCAGCCACTCGGTCTGTAATGACCATCTCTGTGTACATCCTAGGGTAGGGACGCTGCCTCCTTCAAACCTCAGGGCTGTCCCCCCTCAAGGCCCCCAGGGGCTCACTGTTGGTTACCTCTTCCGTCCTGTTTCCTCTGCTTAATTTTCAAGATTCTATCCTGTTTCTACCAAATCCATGTTACCGCTGAGGTATGTTATGTATAGCATTACATTTAGGTCCCATGAAAGGACCTCGCTGCCATTAACTGTTTCCTGTCTTTGTTGTGCTCACACTGTTTGCTTTTCTTCCTTAGTTTTTCAAATCATGTCTGTCCCTTAGAGATAAGCTAGGTGTGCGCGGCCCGGCCTGGCCCCGTGGCTTTGTCCCGCACAGGAGTTCCTCTTCCAGAGTCTTGTTCTCTTTGTGATTGGCTGGGCGTCCGTACCGTGCGTGCCGGTGCCTTCTTCCTGTCAGAGGGACCCGTGCTGACCCTCTGCCGTGTGCTGTGTGGGCGCCCAGTGAACATTTTAACGCCGCTAATGGCTTTAGGTGCTGCAGCCGGCGAAAGCACAGTTAGAAGGAGTTACTAATCGCTTTACCAAGAGTAAAGAGAAAAGAAACTGAGTTTACTAAAAATATTGTGAATAAGAGTGTGTGAGGGTCTTTTGCATATGCAACACAAACTAAGCAAAAACAGCAACATCAGTCTCTTTTCTTAAAATATATTTTATTGATTTTTTTATACAGAGGAAGGGAGAGGGACAGAGAGTGAGAAACATCGACGAGAGAGAAACGTCGACCAGCTGCCTCCTGCACACCCCTCACCGGGGATGTGCCTGCAACCAAAGTACATGCCCTTGACCGGAATCGAACCTGGGACCCTTTAGTCCACCGACGCTCTATCCACTGAGCCACACCTGCTAGGGCATCATCAGCGTCTTTTTTACCCAAGTCTATATAAAGCACATCAGAACACAAAATTATCAATTAAGAAGTCGAGCATGAGCATTATTTCAAAGCTGGAAAAGCTATGCTACATTGAAGGACCTTTAAATGTTGGTAATCCAACCATAGCTGAGGGTAACTTCGCTGCACAACTGTGCAGGGTCATGAATCCACCCAGACGGTCGTGTGGCCAAGCAGTGATCTGTGGACCGTCCCTTAGTAATCCCAGGACAGTCCACAGGTCACTGCTTGGCCACACGACCGTCTGGATGGGTTCATGACCCTGCACAGTTGTGCAGGTTTCCTACGGAATCCCTCCTCGCTGGAGCCTCCGGGAGTCTGGCTCTCTCAGGTCTCCAGTTTTTCCTGACCGTCTGGTTTTTCCGGTGAGCTGGGCTCTCCCTGTCCCGGGGGCCTGGGGCTGCTCCAGGGCCTGGGGCTGCGGGCCTGGGGGCTCCTGCGGTCTGGGACTCTTCTCCCTGCCGGGCAGAACCGTGATGAAGAGGAAGGGCTTTTGTTGGCGGTCGCCAGCACGGAGCCGGGTCCCTGGTGGGCTTCCCGGTTCGCCTGGAGGTTTCCATTCCATCCCTTGTCCGTCTGGAGCGATGTGCTGCTGGCCCTGCGAGCGTCACCCCTTCTTCCTTCCTTCCTTCTCCTCTGGCAGAACTGAGGGGGCCGGGAGCTCCAGATAAGGCTAACGTGGTAATGGCCACCTCACATAGTTGGTACATTTAGATGGGGGTAATTGAGTCAGCACAGGGATTATAAAACTTAATTAGCACAGTTGTGTAAAACTTCTCTTTTATGGCTCTCTTATTTCTTTTCAAAAAGTCTCAGTTGGCATTTAAGGAAACAGATAAAGGCAGCCCCCAGTCAAAGGTCCTTTCATTGCGTCGCCCATGGCCCTCCCAGTCGCCACCCCAGTACCTCCATGTGGCCCTCGGGCTCCAGGGATAGCTGCTCAGAAGCGAGTAGTACTTCTGGTTTAGTAAGCAGTTAGCTCTGTTCATTCGGTGACATGGCCTGGTGCTGAGAAGCAGGGGCCACCGGCCACCACTGCTCACCAGCGGACATGCTGTTCTCTAAAATACGTCAACAGAGTATCTTAGCCTCCCCTTGTCTGCAAAATGTGATTTTTTTCTTTAATTAAAGAGAAGGATCCATATATATATATATAAAAGCCGACGTGACCTTTAGGACTGGCCAACCGAACAACCAGTTGACTGGTCGCTATGATATACACCGACCACCAGGGGGCAGATGCTTAATGCAGGAGCTGCCCTCTGGTGGTCAGTGGGCTCCCACAGTCAGCCTCCCACTGCCGGCCAAACTCACGTGGTCCCCCCCCCCCGCCCACCCCACATCCCTTCTCCCTGGCCGGCTGTGATTGGTTGGGACAGGGCGAGGCAGCCCTATCAGCCCAATCGCCAGCCAGGCCAAAGGATCCCACTGGTGCACAAATGCGTGCACCGGGCCTCTAGATTAAGAGCAGTAGAAAAGCAGAGATCTCTTTTATAAGCTATTTTCTCTCTCAATGCATACATGGACTTATAAAACCATCTTTATTACCATGCAGGCCATGGTTGCTTGTTACCCAGGCAATGGGACAGGATACGTACGTCACGTTGATAATCCAAATGGAGACGGAAGATGTGTGACATGTATATATTATCTTAATAAAGACTGGGATGCCAAGGTATGCAGCTTAATTGAACTTAATATTAATACCTCTTTTTCTCACAGGTATTTATACTGCTTGGAGGTAAGACCGTCTTTAACACATGTAACAGTCAAAAATTTCTTAGATTGGTTTCAGTCTGAGGTATTAGGCGTAGGTCTTTGTAAAATGAAACAAATGCTAATAATAGATCTCAAAAAGTGCGTTCCTTTATTTTCAGATATTGAAGTGTTCACCTAAAATTTAACTTTTACAAAAGTGTTTTGTTGGCCCTCGTTTGGAAGGTCTTCGCCCGGAAGTTTATTTGGCGGTCTGGTCTAATTAGCATACTTTATTATTAGAAATTTTCCATAGGAATAACTAAGTCTAGTTGTGCCCCACCCTCTAAAAAAGAAATGTTTACTAACTAAATTCTTCATTTTAAAACTTTTGGATTCAGATAATACTCATCTGTTTTACCCAGTATTTTCAAAGACCCTAACACAGGGAATGATTTTTTTCTTGTGTCAGTGCATTTACTTAGAATTTCAGCTCGCCTCCAGACCTTGTTAATTGAGATATATCTGAGGTGAACCCAGTTAAGAATTTGAGTCTCTCCCATTAAAATAGTGGTTGTTCACACTCCGATATTTGCGTCTTTTCCTAGGTAAGTGGAGGTATACTGCGAATTTTCCCAGAAGGCAAAGCCCAGTTTGCTGACATTGAACCCAAATTTGATAGACTGCTGTTTTTCTGGTCCGACCGCCGCAACCCTCACGAAGTACAACCAGCATATGCTACAAGGTAGTATTCCTTTAAGAAACGATGGCTAACGGTGACGGCAGGACAGAGCGGGTAGATAAGATAAACTTACGTTTCCTAATGGGTGTTTTCGTGTTCTTCAGTGACTCGTATCATCATGCTTCAGTCATAGCTTTGCATGGGAGTAATTTTACAGGATTTATTCACATCAGGACTACATGTGACTCTGCACAGTGTTCCTTGTTTGGGGGAAAAGGGGATGCACGGGCCCTGTCACTTCCCAGCCCCATCTCCTTGTTTGTCCATCTCTTAACTCCTCACCCTCCTGTGAGCTGCGGAGAGTTGAGCTGGCCCTTGACCATGTGTGGATAAAGGGGTACAGCCTCCCATGCAGTCAGAAACCCGTGTGTGACTTTTGATCCCCAAAACCATGTCTGCTAATAGCTTACTGTTAACCAGAAGCCTTAGTGATGACAGAGTTGATGAGCACACATTTTGTATGTAGTATGTATTACATTCTGTATTCTTACAAAACAAGGCTGAAGGAAATAAAATGTTAAGAAAAATGACAAGGAAGATAAACATCACAGTACATTTGGAAAGAAAACCTGCGTGTCTGCGATGCATTCAAACCCGGGATCAGCTGCGTTCACTAGAAAGAAGAGACAGAGAAGGAAAAGGCAGATTTTCAGAAAGTGGGGAGGAGGGAAGAGAGATGATGTAGGAAAATACACCAAGTAGAGAAATCAGGGAGCAGAAGGGAAGAGAAAAAAGAACAGAGGAGAGAAAAGGCGTCACGTGTGGGAGCCAAGGTTAGAAAAGTAACATCTAGCTTTAATGAGAGCATCTCTTTCCACAGTACCTATTCTGTGTAATGTGTTTCTTAAAGTCTTCTTTAGCATTTATTGTGGCTCAATTAAAATGTTAAGACTGCTAAAATGGAAGGTGATATAGACATTGTTTAAAAATAAATACTTGTAGAAAAATAGCACCATGTAGTAAGTACCTATTTTTTGTTAACAAAAGGACTTGGAACATCATGATAGTGAATTACTGTCATGCAATTATTTGATATGATGAGAAGAGGCATACTCTCAGACACCGAGTAGGCTTTTTAAAATATGCATATTTTTACTGATTTCAGAGAAGTGATGAGAGAATCATTAATGGGCTGCCTCCTGCACGCCCTCTCCTGGGGATCAAGCCTGCAACCCAGACATGTGCCCTGACTGGGAATTGAATCGTGACCTCCTGGTTCATAGGTCGATGCTCAACCCCTGAGCCACGCTGGCCAGGCGAGTCAGCTTTGAATAATGCTAGGGTCTGTCCCTCACCGTGTTTCAGCTCCCCGGGCCTCAGTTTCCCCAGCTGTCCGAACTCTCAGACTCTGCTCTGCCTTTGCCTCTTCACTTAGATATTTCACACGATTTAGTTCTGTCACACGTGCTGGCTCTTCATCCGATCGGTACTGCTGTCCCCAGCGGGTTCTGGCAGAATCTGCGAGGTGCCTTCCCCGCCCCTGTGCTCCCCTGAGGAGGGGACTGAGCACTCGGCCACTCCCTAAATGTGTACATTTCCCCCTTTACAGTGTGCTGGATAGTATTGGATAAAGCAGACGTTCCTCATTCATTTGTGGGATGATGTATCCCGAACAAGTGAAATTTTCAGGAAGTTGAAGTTCAGCTAACCTGTGTATCTAAAGACAGCACAGCTGTTTCGATAAAATTCCTAGACAATTCCTGGCATGTTTTAAATCTCTCCTGGTGATGCGAGGTGATAAACCGTGAGCACCCATCCTGACTCCTCAGGGACCTGCCAGGCCGTCCTTCCGGGCCTCTGCCTTCTCCGCCCGCAGAGCTCCTGCCGGGGCGGGCAGGGCCGTTCTCCACCCGAGTGCCTGCGTGTGGGCTGTGGGCATCACGTAGCTCAGGGGCACCCAGGAAGCCACCCCTGGGTGCCACCCCTCAGCGGCTCCCGCTTCCCCGCTGTGCTCTGGGCATCGAGGCTGGAGGAGCGGGAGGTACCGGCTCACTGATGCCGGGAACTTGCCGCTGAGACGTGACGTGACGTGACAGTTTATAGACCGTTGTCAGCATGCCGCCTTCCCCGGTGCGACCATTCTTACCCTATTCTAAATTTTCTTTTAGGTACGCAATAACTGTTTGGTATTTTGATGCAGATGAGAGAGCCCGAGCTAAAGTAAAATATCAAACAGGTAAACAGCACTGGGGGCCAGGGGGCACTGGACGGACGATGCCCACAGTCCTGGTGGTGGTCAGAGTCCTCGGTTCCCGCATTTCACAGAGGACGCCTCTGAAGTCAGCGGCAGGGTCACCTTTAACCAGGGAACTGTCCAAAGCGTAGGGAAGCGGGAGACCCAGTCTGCGGACGTGACAACCCGGGCTGCGTCTCTGTGACCATCCTTCCCGGTCGCAAGCTGCTGAGCCCTGAGAACTGCCGTCGGGCTTGCTCTCACGATGCTCACAGAAGGAGGCTCATGTCTTTCCTTTTTAAACGTACATGCTCCCCCGAGTCCTCCAGGCCTTCCACGTCTGCTGTGGGCGTGGAGGAGAGGAATGGAAGCGCCAGCGTCAGATGCCCAGGCGTGGGGAGTGTGTGTGCTGTGGAGGGTCTTAGTTCCCACCTGACGGACCTCACCTGTCCTCACTCTGACCTTCACTCTCAGTCTGCTCAGTGTGCACGCTGCTGATGCACTAGCTGTGTTTTCCCAAGCCTTAGATCATCCCAGATTCTCCTTTTATGAAACTATACAAACGGGATGCTCATAGCTTCTAAAGTCATCATTTTTGGCAAAGCCCAGTGTGTGTGCTTTTAGTGATGCAGAACACACTGCTTCTACAATATAACAAGTTAAATCACTTTTTAGATTAAAAGACAGATCTCTGTAGAGAATGTCTTTTCCCTCCGAAGGTTGGCTAGCTCAGTGACGCACCATCAGAGCGCAGTGCCGGGGAAGCTGGTGGAAGGAAGTGCAGGTGTGAGCGGTCAGATGACGTATGTTGGCCAAGTTGAGACCTGCGCGTACTGCCAGGACCCTCAGTGGGAAGCAGGAACGGCAGCTGCTGGCGCCTGGTGAATGACTTTTCGTTGTTGCTTTTTGTCTTACCTTGCAGGTGAAAAAGGTGTGAGGATGGAACTAAATAAACCTTCTGATTCCATCAGTAAAGACGTCTTATAGACTCTGATCCAGCAATACCCTCCTCCACCTCCGACAATGTTGACGCTGTCTGTCAACGTGTGACCACACGCAAGTGGGATAAAGAAAAAGAGCCAACCCGTTGGCATTTCAGTAAGGAAACAGAAACGACCTTTTCGTGTTGCATCAGAAGGAAGATTGGACCGTGTGGCTTTGTCCTGCATGACTGACTGCAAACCTGTGATTGCTTCCGGAGAATAGAAGCTGCCGGCTGAGACTGGTCTCCACATCCGGAGTGCCCCTGGTAGTGCTGTTTCATTCTTACATTCTGTCACCTCTGCCATCTAGCCGAGTTCATGTCATCTCTCCCTTTTTTATAGTCACGTTTGGATTTGAAGTAATTTTTGTATGATCAGGTACAATTTATCAAAACTGAATTGAGAAAAAAAATTACAGCATTGTCCCCCAAAATAGCATCAATCTATTTTTGTAAGCCTCTTCGTACTATTAAATTTTGCCCTAAAAGACCTCTTATAATGATTGCTGCCAGTGACTGACAATTAATTTTCTTTTTACTTACAAGAAGGAGCACTTTAATTAGCAGCTGAGAAACCGGATTTTTTGTAATCCTGTCTGACACTAATTTGAACTCTTAAAAATGGCTTCTGTTGTTTTTGTTGACATTGTTAATAATGAAACATAACAGTAAAACCATCACCATTTACTACCAATAACTCTTAGTTCCGAATGTTTTATAAGAAAAAACGCACAGCAAAAAAAAAAAAAAAATGCAGTTTTATATATTAAGTTAAATTATTTTTAAAAGCCACAGGGACTGGCACTGCATGAACTTGAGGCAAGACCTTCAGCATCAAGTTCCGGGATAAAGGGCTTTCCCCGGCCTCAGGTGTGCCCTCAGAGCAGCGGTCGCCAGCCTCCCGGACCTCACGGGGCACCCGGGTCCCGGGCCCCCCGTTGGCGCCCGCTGCTCTGAGCGGAAGAGCCCGCCCTCGGGCTGGGCACTCGAGCTTTGCCGTTACGTTTTCCTGCTCCTGTGACCCCCCCTGATCTGCGGGTCAGAACCTGGTTCCCATTGGGCAGCCTCTAGGGGAGACTGTGCTTCGAAACTGACCTGTGTTGTCCGAGACGGAATGTTGGTGACCCTCAGGCCGCCACGGAGGGGGTCCCCACCCGGGTGCTGGCCTCTTGATAAGCACCAAAGGGTGTGCCGTTAGCTTGGAAAATCAAAAGTGAACCAGCAAGGTAACCTCATGTGGTAGGAGTTTTCCTGTTTACGTTTCAGAAGAAGAGGGAATGTTCCAGAATCACACCCAGGGCCTCCCAGACGTGGTCGCCCAGTGTATGAACCAGAACAGATGTGCAGACTCCAGGGTCCCAGGCAAAGCGCCCAGGGTGGCATCTGTGTTCTGCATGCATGACGGGTGGAGTGCCCACTTCCGTTTTCTATCTCTGTCCTTGATCTTGTCTGCCAAAAGAATGTGAGTGTACAGAAACATTTCTGTATATTTCAACTTACAACAGTTTTAAGCATTTGTATCGTTTGTACTCAATTAGAGACTTTTTCTATGGAAAGCTCCGTAATTTTTATTAAAAGATCCATGTTGTTCATGTAAAACATGAAAAAAAAAAACTTAGTGAAACCAACAGTGTGGGCGTAGGGCGGGACGGACGCTCAGTGTTGCTGCCTCGCTGAGGAGAAGTGCAGGACAAAGCTGCAGTTGGAGTCTTTTTCGTAGCCCGTGCTCAGTCCTGTCCCACTTCCTCTCCTCGTTCCGATAACGCAGTGTAACATCTCCACAGCAGGTGCCTCTGCAGCCTGTCCCGGGGGCGTCCCAGCCAGCTGGTCTCTGTGTGCGCTGCCACGTGAGGTGTGGAGCAGACTGTGCTGTGTGGGCGGGAGGTCCATCTGTCTGTCAGGGTGTTCGCAACAGTCTCCCAGCCTGGGAGCCCCGAGTCACGGTCCGATGTCCGCCCTCAGCTCTGCAGGTGGGCTGTGCTGCCGGGCAGGGCTGAGGCTCTGTGGTTTGGGAAAGTTGATGTAATCCCTTGGAGGTCATTGTGAAAGGATCAGGAACCAGAGTAGCCATTTCCTGACTGTCCATTTAAAATCTGTTCATGTGAGTGGGGTCGGTACGTTGTCACCAAGCAGGACACTTGTTTAAAACAAAATTTGAAATTATTTGTGGTCTCTGTGTGTCTAATCCTGGTTAAAGACAAAGCTTCTAATGCTGTTTTTATTCAACACGTTAACCAGCTGTCAAACACGGACCTTTAACCACAGGCAAAGGGTTTCAGGATTCATGTGTAAACCACACAGAGTCGTGTGATTTGAAAAGCAGTGTTGCATTATGAGAGCTCCCGAGCTGCTTGTGAAGCTAATTAATTAAAGCGATGTATGATTGTTCTTGACAAATACGATGCTGGTTCTTTCCATCTGTCTTTTCCTGTTTTTAATATCCTTTCTCAGAGACTGACTTCCTTTGTTTCGGGTACTGTGCTCTGCTGTCCCCACCTCTGGCGTGGCTCACAACGTTCGCTGTTCCTTTTAGTAAGTGGCGAGGGAGAGAGGAAACCAGTCAGCACGGGGCCCAGCGTGAGAGAGACATCCTGGGGCCATCGGACTGCCCTTGGGATCCCTGGGCTGAGATTCTCAAATTTGGGTCCTGCCCCTTTACATAGGATGTTTAGAACGACTCTAACACGCATGCTCTTGATCACATCCGTGTCACCCTGTGCAGTGACAGGACCTGAGTGCCATGGTGTCCTATTGGGTGGGAACAGTTACTGACGTGTGTGGTCACTGACTAAAACACATGGGCTCTTACAAAATGAGATCAATGTCCGTGTTCACCGATCTCGCCTTTAAATATTTAAATGATCTCTACCTTCCCACCACGGAAGACACGCACAGGCCCCTCCTCAGCCCCAGCTGCTCGCACAGGCTCCTGCCACATCCCCACGTTCCTCACGTGACCACGTTGTAACTTGGGTCAATGCCAGGTTGGCAGACTGCGTGCTCACCTGAAGCTGAGACCAGAGGAGGCCGGGGTGACTTGTCTTCCACGATGGCCGGCTCTCCTTCCTGTCCCAGCTCTCCCCTCCTTCCCGTGGTTCTGGGGAGCGATTGCCCTTGAGGGGGCTGAGCAGCCGTCTTCCTCGCTGCCCGCTCCCCATGGTTCCGGGGGCCCCTTCCCCGCTCCGTGGATCTTGGGCTTCCTGGACCCCACACTTCCTCTCCCTCGGTTTGCCTCCTCGGTCTGGCGCAGCGTGCCCCAGCGCTTCCTGTGCGGGGCGTGTGCGTGGTGCGTGTTCCAGGCCGGCGCCTGCTGTCCTCCTCGTGGGTCATGTGTCTGCGTTCCCAACTGCAACTTGGCTGTGGTGTCGGTGGCCAGTGGGTGCTGAGCCGTCGCTGACTGTGTGTAACCTGATTTTCTCTGCGGATGGACGCCCGTGCACCGCCTCCATCAGGCTCTTAGGCTTCCCGTGTGCCTTGGCGTGGGCCTGAGTGCCTGCCCTGCCTTTGGGGACATTTTCTTTTGAATTATTGTTTAAAGTATTACCTAGGTCTCCTTCCTCTGCCCCCCTTCCCCCCATTGACCTCTCCCTGGCTGCCCCCCCCCCCCCAGCATAACGCAGGGACAGCAGAGAACGCGCATCTGAAGAGCCAGCATCAGGACCCCGGGAGGGGACAGTCAGGCGGAAACGCCTTGGGGGCCAGCATGCCGTTCCTGGGGAAAGCGGGGCCCCCACCTCGAGGGAAGGAAGCGCTGATAAATCCGACACCAGCTGCATGAGAAGCGGATGCTGGGAAGTTCCTGAGATCACAGGTCGCCTGTTGGGAGCTTCCATGTCTGCGAGAGGGGAAGGTGCCTCCCGGAGGCCTGACGCCGACAAGAAAAGCCAGACTCAGAAGAGACCCCAGGCGCGCCCACCTCACAAAGAGACGCTGTATGGCCGAGAAGCCGCACGCCCCTGACCTTGGCTCCCGAGAGCCAGCTGCAGTGCCTTTCACAGGGAACGGTCGTGTTAACACCGAGGAGGAGAGGGCAGGATCCATATCGCTCAGAGCATTCTCTGAGAACGGGAACAGTGCGCGGCCTGAAGGAAATACCTCCACCGGGACCGACTGCAGACACCAGACTTCACTCTGAAACCGAGAAATGAGAAAATCTCCCCCGGAAACGGACCCAAAGAGGAAACGGAGACCTCAGGAAGCCGTGAAACAGGAGTTGATGTAACTCGGCAAAGAACTAGAAAAAGACATTATCTCAGATGAACATTAAGTTATAAAGGACCCAGCAGAGAATAGCGGCCGCTGAGAACGCAGTGGAAGAGAATAGAGGGGAGCAGCCACGAGTTCAGAACGGAAGGCTGGACACACGTGCCCTGGCGGGTCACACGGTGAGGCCTACACGGCCGGAGGAGCAGTCTGCAGGAGCGGCCTTGCGGTGAGTGCCAGGCATGCTGGGAAGCGCATGTATGTGTGTGTATATAAGCACATTTATGTGTGTGTGTGTGCACATTTATACTTACCTATTGGTTATCATCAATGTATACAGATACACAGAGGCTCCTGTGAGGACTCTTGTAGAACAAGTAGGCTCTCCGTTTTTTTAACGCTGATGCTGAATTTCATACGTTGTTGGCCCTTGAACAGTGCAGGGGGCAGGGGTGCCAATCCCCAGTCAGAAATGACAGGTAACTTCGACTCCCCCAAAACGTGACTCATAGCTCCTTGACTGGAACCCTTGCCAATAAATAGTTTATATATATATATATATTTTTTTTTAATACATTTTATTGATTTTTTACAGAAAGGAAGAGAGAGGGATAGGGAGTTAGAAACATCAATGAGAGAGTAACACGGATCAGCTGCCTCCTGCACAACCCCCTACTGGGGATGTGCCCCGCAACCAAGGTACATGCCCTTGACTGGACCCGCACTGTCCAAACCCACGTTCAGGGGTCAGCTGTGTGTGGTTGGCAGGAATGCTGACAACTGGGATGGCTGATGTCTTAGAGGAGTAATCTAGCTTGGAAATACACCAATTCTGATTTTTTGGAGAACTGTGGGGAAGGGTAGTGCTCCTTGGTGGTTTTGAGAAGCAGATAGTGATGGAATTTGAGAAATGCCCAGCCATCGCACTGGCTCGCACCAACCTTAAGAGGCTCCTCTTTGTCCTCTTAGACCTGGAATGCAGGGCAAAGGGCATGCCCGGTGGAAGCTTCCAGGCTGGTTCAGATGACACAGCCGTGGCGGACACGCTGAGAGGAAGGGGAGGATTTCGGAAACGGGGAACGCCTGGCTTTCCTCGTCTGGCAGACCTGATGGGCACGACCTCGTGTTTTTTAAACATTTGCTTAATTTTCAGGATTACCTTGATTTTCATTCTAGTTTTTTTTATAGTTTATATTTTAAAATGTTTTTATTGATTTGAGAGAGAGGGATAGAAACATCAATGAGGAGAATCATTGACTGCACGCCCCTCACTGGGGATGGAGCCCACAACCCAGGCAGGTGCCCTGACCGGGAATCAAACTGCGACTTCCTGGTTCAGGGATTGGTGCTCAGCCACTGAGCCGCACCGGCCGGGCATGCCCATGTTTTGCTCAGTGTGAGTGCTGGTTTCTCTCTTGCAGGAGACTGTCGTGTGGAGGGAAAGGGGAAGTAAGTGGGGGGGGGGAGCTGCCCTGTAGATGAGTTCTTGTTTGTTTGAACAAGCGCACACTCCTGGCTTGCTGTGTTCCCTCTCCTGGGACGTTGAGATCATAAGCTATCCTCGCCTTCCCATGAATCAGAACTGGCAGTGACTGTTACCGCTCTTGGCAAGTTTCTCTCTGGTCCTTGAGGTTTACTTAGCCCTGGGGCATTTCAGAGAAATTTCACTTACCCAGAGCGCCCCCTGGTGTTCAGCAAACAAGAGGGTACAGATTGTGGTAGGTTTAGCACCAGCAGGATTCTGCATCACAACACACAGGCTGTAAACTTTAGTTCCAGGGTCATTTAAAGTCTTTTACTTTTTATTTGATGTGATGATGAAGTATGTAGATATATAACTTATAAGAAAAAATAGAAGCTAATCTCCACATCCCATCCTTTTCTGTTAATTTCCACTCCCGAGGCAGTCGGACCTGTAATGATTGTACATGAGATCTCTCGACATTCGGAGGGCAGGCTGCTGTCAGTCCATGTGTAATGGGGCGGCACTGACACACGGACACGAACCTGCTGTGCCCCCCCACCACCACCACCGCAGGCTGAAAAGCTGCTTGAAGACATGGACCGTCTGATTTACTTCGTGGCCTCAGCACCTTGTTCAGTTTTGGTTCAAAATGTGTAACTACATATCGTTGACATAAAACACACATTTTAAGTAATTTCTATTTATTAAATACTATTTTTCAACTTCACACTTGAGAAATATCAAAACTTGTGAACTGTCAACCAGATAGGCTAAAATGACAAGGATTGATGATAGAGTTAGTAACTAGATAACTGAGACCCTCATACATGGCTGGTAAGAGCATAAACTGGCAACATTTCCTATAGCTAACCATAAATACACCCCGAGAGCCTGCAATCCACTCCTGAGTACAAGCCCAAGAAAGTGACAAGGCTGTTCTTAGCAGCATCATTCACTATCGCCAGCTCCGCCCGGAAGTAATTCAAACGCCCATTAATGTAGAATGGATGTGTACCTTTTGGCATATTCACATATATACTACAGGGCAATTTAAAAAAAGAATGAACTTTTGCTCCCCAGAACAAAGTGCTACTTTATGAAGTTCAGAACGAGCTAAGCGAACCTGTGGTGACAGAGAAGAAAAGTGGGTGTTCGCTGGGTAACACCAGGAGGATCCCAGGTTCGCCCTGAGCACTCTGCACCTCGTGAACACACGTCATGTTGCACTGAAGTTAAGAAGAAAGAAAACGTGCGAACTCGAGTCTTGGGAATATGCCAACATGCTGAGACAGAAGCGAACGGATGAAAGTAGGTTCCTTCGCTAAAATATTCTTATGAAAATGGTTTCAACTTTGGCTTACAGGGTCATCCTACTTCCAGATAAGCTGAGCATAAGCTAGGCAACTCTGCTGTGTGGTAGGCATTAGGTACTTAGCACCGAGTTTTAGCCACTCATGTTGCTCAATTTTGAGAAAAACTAACTCTGGCCTAGAAAAGTTAAGTGGCCATTTGTTACCAGGAATATTCCAAAAGAAATCTGTTTTACCACACTCTGTCTACTTTTACCTAAAACCGGCTAAGACAAAATTCTTTCAAGTATATAAAATGTATTTCCTGTTAAGATTTGGGAGGAAAAATCTAAAAAGCATTTTAAATAACCTTGAGTACCCTAACAGCTAACTTTGTATTCTAGATTGTGTTTTGGGTCAGTATGCCTGACCGTATACACATTAACAGTACTAGGAATGAGTTTTAATATTAATAAATACTCAATTTAACCAAACAGTTAATTCTTCACTAAATATTGTGAGGGAAGTACACAAAAAGATTAAAGTATTTAAAACCTTTAAGAGCAAGAAAGAGATTCTGAAAACTATGCATGTAAACATGCAGAACTGGGCTGCAGCATACGTAAGGCACGAGTGAACATAAATATAAATATAGCACCTTAGACAAATATTTAAAATCACAGTGTCATAGGTATACATAAATAGGACATCTGTCAGTTACAAGTCTTAGTATTTACCCGGACTCCCTGAGAGACTGACACGGTGGTATGTGTGTGAGACCTTGTTTTCAAAGATTTCTGCTTTTGACTTGGCTGCCATCACCTTCAAGGCACAGGTCGAGGTGCTCGTTGACCAGAGACTCCAGCACTTGGTCCTGACACACGGGGCAGGCCACCGTTGTGCTCCGGCTGCCGGGGCTTCCGGGAGTCGGCGCTGCAGCCGCGGGACAGGGATCGCCGCCACCGCTCGGCACCTTCTCTGTCTTGATGAAGAACTTGTCGAAGACAGTCTTGCCCTCCAGCCTGCGCTGTTTGCTGGGGGGCCCCGTGTCTGCCCAGCCCCTGCCCTGGGCGGCGGCCGCAGAGGTGGAGGGCACGCTCCTGAGGGCGGCCTTGGAGGAGGAGGAGGGCCGCCTCCGGGCGGCGGAAGGGGCCGGGCTCTCCGCGGGGGCCCCGCTGGCGCTGGCGCGGAAAGCCTGGGCGGCCGCCGCCCGCGGGAAGTAGCTGCTCACCGTGCTTTGGCGGCTGGCGTTCGGCGCCGGGGAGCCGGTCTTTTTCCTCGAACCGTCCTGCTCGAATTCCGCCTGGGTTTTAGGCTTCCGTCTTCCGGCCCCGGCTGGGTGGTCCTGACCTAGCGGCTCCTGGGTCTTGTTAACGGCACTCTGCGTGGGGGACTTCCCTGATGACGGTAAGTTGTTGGTTTCTCCCAGGACGTGTCCCCTCCCGCTAAACGGGACCACGCCGTTCGTCTTGTCTGCAACAGAGCAAATAACGGTTTTTCCCGACCCCAAATTAACAGCAACCAATACTGAGCCAAAGGCAGTTTTCCACAATGAAACATCTCATTCTAACTCAGATCCATATAACTCCCTATTCATGAGAGGAAGACCGTCTTCAGCGGCTCGTACTCAGAACATAACGGATAAGGAGGAACGTGCTCTCATTTTACCATACAATGACCTGCAGCATAGCTTTCCTCTCCTGGGACGAAGCTTTCTGAATTCTAAGCGATGTGCAGGGTGAACCCACGGATGTGATCTGCATGTAATTCTTCTCGGGCTCCTCGACCAGCGTTGCAGATTGGGGAGAGGCGGCCCACAGGCCTGAGTCCCAGGAGGGCCGTGAACTCTGGTAACCAGGCCACCGCTTCAAAGGCAGGGCCGGCTGCTCAGGAAAGGGAGAGCCTGACGAGGCCCCTCAGGCACATGTCACATCCTGCCCGCGCTCCCCCCCAGGAGGCACATCAATAGGAGAAGCAGCTGGACAGGACCCAGCTGATCGGAAGGGGTGTAGTGACGGCTCATGTTCCGGGCATTGTTGTTGGAATTAGTGTTTTTGTTTTGACAATCCTTTTGCCTTCTGTTTCCTAATGAGTCACTGAGTCAAGGTGGGGAAGGGGGACCCTCAGATATTATCATGGGAACGATTTCTACTTTTACTTCCCCCTACATAGAGCGCACATATTCTCCTGCCATCATTCTGGGATTGTAAGAGTTTATAAGTGCACTCTGGAAACTTCGAGAACCATTCCTTAAGCTTCTCTTACTACCGCGTGCCAGCTTTCTAAAAGGCAGCGCCGTCTACCCCGTAGCTGCCGCCGCGGAGGAGCTGGCAGGTAGTTACCTTTGTTCTCCGCTGCTGCCGGCTTGGTCTTCCCTTTGCCTTTCCTGGAGTAGTTCTCTGGCTCCTTGATCTTGATGAAGGTGCCCCCGCAGGAGTGCTGGTGCTCCGCCCACCAGTAGTCGTTGGCGGAGGGCGCGCGGTTGGTGGCGCGCTTCACGTAGCCGAGGTAGGGCTTCCGGAAGCGGCAGGGCCCGTCGCAGCGCCACCAGTGGCGCCGGTACTCGTCCACCTCGCTGTGGAAGGTGTGGTACACCTGGGCCGGAGACAGGGCAGCTCAGGGGCAGCTTAACCACTTTAAGGAAATGCAGGAGCTTTTTTTGGTCTGTTTTGTTTTTTAAAAGCTTTGCGGTTTCTTATAACTTTCTGAAGTTTTATTTGGGGAAAGACAGCAGCTAGACTTAGCTCTGTTCCAAGTTCACATTAATGGCCAAGAGCAGTAGTCCAGTGTGGATTAGGAGACAGAAAGAAACCCCTTAGAGAAATGCAAAGCCTCTACACTTGCTCAAGTTTTAGAAAACGAATTTAATATAAAACCTTAGGATAAAAAACAAGAGCCTGTGCATCCGTAACAAATAAGGACTGTTTCCCTGCAAGGATCAGCGCCAAAGGGTTCCGAGGGCCCCTCTCCCTGGGAGCTCCCTAAACACGACCTGGCCGTGCCAGTTCAGGAAGGGGGTTTGGAGGAAAGAACGGGAGGTGGAAGGTTCAGTCAGCAACCCAAGACCTATCTGAGCAGGAGAATGTGGGAGGTAAGGAAAAAAGGAACTGAGAGGTTATCTGATAAGACCAATTGATAGCAATAAAACTAAGATTGAATTAGTACTCAAACTGTGCTGAAATGTGCTGCATGTATTTCCTCCTTCAGTCCTCATCAGGGCCCAAGCCAAGTTCCTGTGCTCATCTCCATTTTACATTCCAGAAAGAGGAGGTGCAGAAGTTACATAGGCCGCCCGTTCAGATAAAAAACCGAACCCATGCTCTCCGGGCCCCAGGCTCTGCACCTCCTACAACATTATGTCGCAATAGAAACCCAAGACGACTTGGAAGAGGGAAGGATGCGAAACAGCGCAGAATGCAGGGTGGACTGTAGGAGGAGCCCACCGTAACCATCCCAGAGAGACTGCGGCCTGATGGGCCGCACGGAAGGTGCCCTGGACGTGACCAGAGGCCTCCGCAAGGCCGGCTCTGCTGCCACCGAGGCAGCGTCCCGGCCTCTGGCAAAATCCTCAAGACAGGATTTGTCTGTACCCAGTTCTCCATCTTTAACCCCGGGAGTCGCTGGGTGAACCCGCCGAGTACCGCCGTGTGTGGCTCATACCGTGATGTTGGCTCCGGTCAGGCCGTTGATGCGGTGCATGTGCTTACAGAACTCGGGGCCGTGCCCCTCCCGGTCTTTGTCGTTGTTGGTGATGAACAGATAGGCGTGTATCATCTCATGCAAGAGGGTCTGAAACGGAACACAATCACATTAGTTTATGGTGCTTTAGACATAAAAATGGAAGTTCTTTCTCTCCCTAGGATCTTAACCTTCTTTGGCTCACGGCTCCTCTCAGATGCTGATAAGTTTCTCTCTCCCTCTCCCTTCCTCTCTATAAAAAGTCAATAAAATACATATTTTAAAAATTGTGTCTTGATGGGAAGCTATGGATCCTAAGTTTCTAAATATGCAACTTAAATCAGTTATTTAACCTCTCTGAACCTTAATTTCCTCACTTATAAAAACAAGTATAACACACATTGAAATTTGTAAATTAGTGTTATACACATCAAATTAGATACTATACCTGAAAGCATTTAACTTTGAGGCACTAGAAAACAGGAGGTAATCATTATTTGCTCCACAATTGAAGTCTGCAGTGAGGGAAAACTGATTATTTTTACATTCATGAGTCCTCAGCCATCTAAATACCGTATTTTCCGGCGTATAAGACGACCCCCCAATTTTACAGTTAAAACATAGGTTTAGGCCTATATTCGCTGTATAAGATTACCCCCCACTTCAAAGAAAAGACTTTGCCGTCAAGATCTGCAGGTAATTTTTGTGCAGTTTTGGGTCTTTTGCCCCCGATTTTCGGTTGACTTTTTTTCGGTTCAAAAGTCGTCTTATACGCCAGAAAATACGGGTAAGTAAGCCTTTCTAAGTTAGGGAGCGAGGGATGAGGTTTATGCAAAGAATAATACCTCCACAAGCCGAAATCGGTTTGGCTCAGTGGCTAGAGCTTCCGCCAGTGGACTGAAGGGTCCCAGGTTCGAGTCCCGCAAGGGCATGTACCTTGGTTGCAGGCACATCCCCAGTGGGCGGGAGGGTGTGTGTGTGCAAGAGGCAGCTGATCGATGTTTCTCTATCATTGATGTTTCTAACTATCCCTCTCCCTTCCTCTCTGTAAAAAATCAAATATATATATATATATACACACATATATATATATATATATGCACACACACACACACACATATTTATATATATATAAAAGAATACCTCCACAAGATCCTTCCGCGGTCTCAACTTCAGGAGCGGCTCGCTGAGGCGGATGGAACACATGCCGCCCTTCCCTTCGTACGTGCAGACCCCCGCGCACCTGCAAGACAGCCGCCGCCAAGCGTTACCGACCCACACGCACACGCACACGCACACGCACGGGACACGTGGCAAGTCAAACCCCACACGTTCGCGGGGTCCCTCCCCTCGGGGAGCTCGGGGCACGGGGCTCTCTCGGCCGGGTGCCCTCGGTGCCCAGCGGCCCCGCCCCCGGCCGGCCGGCCAGCTCCATCCTCCGCCGCCGCCCCGCCCCTCCCCGCAGCCCAGCCTCCGGCCACACACACCTCCGGCGCAGCAACGTCTCCCGTTTTTGGTTTTTGGTTTGTCTGTCTCCTTTGAATTGTGTGCAACCCACGGGCTAGGCGTCAACAACCCCATCACCTTCGGGACGGGACTCCGGGAGGAAAGGGGCCGGTCCCTGGGGCCCCCCGCCACCTCCCCGCCCTCCCGCCGCGCTCACGGCCGATGGGGGTTCCTAACGGCCCGGGGGGACCAGGGGCACGCAGCCCGGGCCCTCGGGCACCCCAAGGCCAGAAGGAAGCGGGCAGGTTTATTTTCCCGGGAGGCGCGATGCCAACACACCCCGTCTGCCCTCGGCGGGGCCGGGGCCGGCGGCGGCTCTCTAAGCCGTTTGGGCGCAGGAGGGAGGGGAGAGGGGAGAGGGATACGCCGCCGGGCCTCGGTTAACGGCCCCCGAGGCCGTCGCCGGAGGGGAGGGGGCGGGGCGGAGAGCCACCAACCGCCCGCCCGGCCGCCCGGCCCTCACCCCCGCGGGCGCGGCACTCACAGGGTCATCCTCTTGCTCCACTTGACCTCCACGGCCTCCAGCTGGCCCCAGAAGAAGCGGTCGTTGAACTGCACGAACAGGGCCTGCAGGTCCGGCGTGGGGTCCACCAGCTCCCACGTCTCGTCCACCAGCGACAGGGGCTCCTGGGCCTCCAGGGCCCGCTCGCGCTCCGTCATCAGGTTCCACTCGTCCTGGAGCCGCAGCGCCAGCACCAGGTCCTCGTCCATCGCTGCCAGGGTCCCCGGGCGGTCGTCTCCGCGGGGGGCGTCGGGCTCGCTCGCGGGCGCGGCAGATCCGTTGGCGGATCCCGGGCTGAGCTCCGCCGAGAAACCGGCTGTTGGGCTGCTCTCGGCTCAGCCCGCAGCTCTCGCGAGAACTCGGGGCAAACGGGCTCGAGGATGAGGAAAGCTGAGGTTGGCCCCCAAGGCCGAAGCCAAGTTCTGAGGCTTAAGAAAAAGAACTCGGCATGGCACCTCCTCAGGGTGCCAAGAATTCGGACGCCAGGAGTTTCAGGAAACTGCCGTCGCCGCCGCCGTCTCGACACGCCTACATCTTCAAGCTACGCGCAAGCGCACTGCCTACTTCCCGCTCGGTCTCGCCCCCATACTCACTTCCGCGATAGCTCCTCCGGCGCAGGCGCGCTGTGGGCGTGCGGTCCCTCGCGCAGGCGCAATACCTGACGCTCGATCGGAGGCGCAGGCGCACTCGCCTGTCTTCCTCAGCCCCCGGAGCTCCTGCCGGGCTTGGGTGGGCCCCTACCTACCGCGGAGGAGGCACCGGCGGCGGCGGCGGGAGTGACAGCGCCCGCGCGCGAGGCCCGGACGGAAATGGCGATGGCGATGATGTCGGACAGCGGGGCGAGCCGCCTGCGGCGGCAGCTGGAATCGGGCAGCTTCGAGGCGCGGCTGTACGTGAAGCAGCTGTCGCAGCAGTCGGACGGGGACCGGGACCTGCAGGAGCACCGGCAGCGCATCCAGGCGCTGGCCGAGGAGACGGCGCAGAACCTGAAGCGCAACGTCTACCAGAACTACCGGCAGTTCATCGAGACGGCGCGCGAGATCTCCTACCTGGAGAGCGAGATGTACCAGCTGAGCCACCTGCTCACCGAGCAGAAGAGCAGCCTGGAGACCATCCCGCTGACCCTGCTGCCGGCCGGGGCCGCCGCCGCCGCCGCGGGAGGGGAGGAGGGAGGCGGCGCGGCGGGCGGCCGGGACCACCACCACCACCACCACCTGCGGGGCCAGGCCGGCCTGTTCCCGGCCCCCGGGGGCGGCCCCCGCGACGGCGCGGGCCCCGGCGAGGACGGGAAGCAGCGCACGCTCACCACGCTGCTGGAGAAGGTGGAGGGCTGCCGGCACCTGCTGGAGAAGCCCGGCCAGTACCTGGTGTACAACGGGGACCTGGTGGAGTACGAGGCGGACCACATGGCGCAGCTGCAGCGCGTGCACGGCTTCCTGATGAACGACTGCCTGCTGGTGGCCACCTGGCTGCCGCAGCGGCGCGGCATGTACCGCTACAACGCCCTCTACCCCCTGGACGGCCTGGCCGTGGTCAACGTCAAGGACAACCCGCCCATGAAGGACATGTTCAAGCTGCTCATGTTCCCGGAGAGCCGCATTTTCCAGGCGGAGAACGCCAAGATCAAGCGCGAGTGGCTGGAGGTGCTGGAGGAGACCAAGCGGGCCCTGGGCGAGAAGAAGCGGCGGGAGCAGGAGGAGGCCGCCGCCGCCGCCCCGCGGGGGATGCCCCCGGCGGCCGCCAAGGCCGGCAACCCGTTCGAGGAGGAAGAGGAGGAGGAGGAGGAGGAGGACGAGCCGGCCGCCCCCGAGGCGGAGGAGGAGAAGGTGGACCTGTCCATGGAGTGGATCCAGGAGCTGCCGGAGGACCTGGACGTGTGCATCGCGCAGAGGGACTTCGAGGGCGCCGTGGACCTGCTGGACAAGCTGAACCGTTACCTGGAGGACAAGCCCAGCCCGCCGCCCGTGAAGGAGCTGCGGGCCAAGGTGGACGAGCGGGTGCGGCAGCTGACGGACGTGCTGGTGTTCGAGCTGTCCCCCGGCCGGTCCCTGCGCGGAGGCCCCAAGGCCACCCGGCGGGCCGTGTCCCAGCTCATCCGGCTGGGCCAGTGCACGCGGGCCTGCGAGCTGTTCCTGCGCAACCGGGCGGCCGCGGTGCACACGGCCATCCGCCAGCTGCGCATCGAGGGCGCCACGCTGCTGTACATCCACAAGCTCTGCCACGTCTTCTTCACCAGCCTCCTGGAGACCGCCCGGGAGTTCGAGACCGACTTCGCCGGCACGGACAGCGGCTGCTACTCGGCCTTCGTGGTCTGGGCCAGGTCGGCCATGGGCATGTTCGTGGACGCCTTCAGCAAGCAGGTGTTCGACAGCAAGGAGAGCCTGTCCACCGCCGCCGAGTGCGTGAAGGTGGCCAAGGAGCACTGCCGGCAGCTGGAGGACATCGGCCTGGACCTCACCTTCATCATCCACACCCTGCTGGTCAAGGACATCCAGGGCGCCCTGCACAGCTACAAGGAGATCATCATCGAGGCCACCAAGCACCGCAACTCGGAGGAGATGTGGAGGCGGATGAACCTGATGACGCCCGAGGCCCTGAGCAAGCTCAAGGAGGAGATGCGGGCCTGCGGGGTGGGCAGCTTCGAGCAGTACACGGGCGACGACTGCTGGGTGAACCTGAGCTACACGGTGGTGGCCTTCACCAAGCAGACCATGGGCTTCCTGGAGGAGGCGCTGCGGCTGTACTTCCCCGAGCTGCACATGGTGCTGCTGGAGAGTCTGGTGGAGATCATCCTGGTGGCCGTGCAGCACGTGGACTACAGCCTCCGCTGGGAGCAGGACCCGGAGAAGAAGGCCTTCATCCGCCAGAACGCGTCCTTCCTCTATGAGACCGTGCTGCCCGTGGTGGAGAAGCGGTTCGAGGAGGGCGTGGGCAAGCCCGCCAGGCAGCTCCAGGACCTGCGCAGTGCGTCCCGGCTCCTCCGCGTCAACCCCGAGAGCACCACGTCCGTGGTCTGACGCCCGCCCGCCCGCCCGGGCCCGTGCGTGGGAGCGCGTGCGTGTGGCTCCCGTATTATTTATATTTATGTCAGACCCCGTGAGCTTTGTCTCTGTAGTCTCCCTCAGCTTAGCGATAAAAGAGGCCCTCTCGGATAGAAAGAGGAAAGAATGTTCCGTGAAGCCCACATGACAAAAACATGGCAATTAATAAAGTATAGAATATGCTTTCCTTTTATATCATGCTAACTCTCTAATGGATGTATTATCAGTTATCATTTCAGTTTATCCTCTGAGTCCAGACATCCTTTCTCACAGTATCTACTATGCAGCCACAGGGAAATAATGTCTGTAAGCGTTTTATGCAGAGTTTTCCAGTTCATCAAAATGCTAGGTTTCTAAAGGGGCAAGTGCCATAGATACTTCCCCCCTCCCCCCCCCCCCCTTAAAATGTGATGGAACAATCTGGGGGAAAGAAAGGAGTTGAGAAAATTGGTTTTAAGGGTAAATCTTGTTCAAAAGAATTCTTACGTGAGAATAGCTAGTTTGTGCAAATATTCTGATCCTTATACAAGAGGAAGCCTTCATAAACCAGTTCAGCAGCTATTTCCAATGTGATTCTAATGGCTATTTTCAGCTGCTAATTGGTGGTTTTATAATGGGTTCGGAGCATTTACTTGAAAATCTTAGGGACTATGATAAATTCCCTCCCCCCCCCCCCCCCCCAGCATATTTCTGAACTGTGGGAATGCTCAGCTGGAGCAGTTGTCTTTATCGTTAGGAAAATAAGAATCAGGACACACTGAGGAACTGGCAGTACCAGTGAGTTTTAGCTGGCCCTCCCCCTCCTATAGTGGCTCAGCCTTCACGCACATGGGAGAAAAGTTTTCACTGAAATACTTGTTTAGATTTCAGGGTCTGGTGGATGGGAAATTAGAAAAATCATATGCAAACCCCACGGTGTTCTCAAGTATAACTGGTTTTCTTTATTGTTAAAAGTCTTCCATGTCTCTTTTCCCCTGATTGATAACAGGTTTTTAAAAACAAAACAAAACATGTTTTTGTTGATTTTAGAGAGAAAGGGAGAGGGATAGATTAAAAACATCATGAGAGAGAGAGATCGATCATCTGCCTCCTGCACACCCCCTGCAACCCGGGCCTGCGCCCTGACGGGGAATCGAACCAGTGACCTGGTTCACAGGTCAGCATTCAACCACTAACCACACCAGGCGAGCTCAGGGATAACTGCTTTGAGTAGAGAACTGTTTTTGCTTTTTTTGTAACAAAGCGGAAGAACAGAAAGATGAGAAGAGGGTGACTCCTTCAATGCTGCAGGCTGCGTTTTTGTGGCAGTTTTATCTTTTGTTTTACTTGCTTTGTTTTTTAAAGTGAACAGAATGCTTACCTCAGATTCTTTCTGGAAAACAAGAATAACCGTAGGAATTTGAATTTCCCAAGGCCTCTAACCTGTTGCTTCTAGTGTATAATATGTTGATTGTATACAATGCCTCACACTTTGGAGACTTTGTGCCAGCTGAGATCCATTTCCCCCTGGCTTGTAGTGATTTTTCTCCGTAAGTGCCATTCCTAATGCCAGTTCCTTAAAAAGGTCATTTCTCTTATCTAGATAAAAATAGTGGTATGAAGACTGTGGAAATTACATAAAACCACAAATAGGGTCCCGAATGCTGGCTCAGCATTGTAACGTTTCTTGAGTTAATTTGACTCATGCCAAAGGATCCTTTATGGTTAGCTAGGCCTACTGAAAAGGTTGAAAATAATCAAAGTTACAAATTTTCCTTGACTAACTCTTTTTTTACATATCTAGGGTATGTTTCAGCTAAACAAAAAGTTATAATTTGTCTTTTAAGATCACTGGAAACTTGGATTTGATTTTTTTAAAAATTGTAATAAATTTGTGCCACTTACAGTTTCTAAAATATTGTTTGTGGCACATCCTGTGTGACTGTTTGAGGCTGGGTAGGTAAAAAACGATCCTTCTGAAATCAAAACTTCTTTTTTAAGGAGTGAAGCTGTCAAAACTTAAGTGTGTACACTCCGATATGCAGATGGTTGCTTCTTCTTAGGGCCGTCTGCTCTATAGAACCGGAAGTGGGAATTTTCTTCTGTTCAAACTTATGTGCTCAATCAAAGCTGTAGCTGAAGGAAGTGTGCTGGCCGTCAGCTCCTGTGGGGGACTGGGTGAGGACCACCAATCTTAAGAGTGTACCACTGTGCCAGGAGAGCAGTTATGGCCGCTCTTCCAGGTGGGGGCAAAGCTCCTCTCATTCTTGTCTCATTGGACTCCAAGTCAAGTTCAGAACTTGAACGCGCTTAGTAGCACGTGCTGCCACATACCACTCACGGCTGATTGCCCCGTTTGCTGTCACCTGTGCTTTGAGTCGCAGACTTGATCGAACTCATTACTGGTGAGAAAAGACATCCTGTGGAATGAAGTCTCTCTAATGAGAGTCTCTTGTTTTTGTTTAAAATACTACCTAGAGTTCAATGACCCGCGTTTGTATTTTGCAACTTGCTTACCTGGGACTGGGAATTGGGGCCTGACATGCAGTATGACGTCAGACTATGTACGTTTCGCCTGTTGGTATGCTGTGATAGGAGGCAATCTGAAATATGTATCAAAATAAAGCTGACAACGTTTCTTACACTGGATAAACTTCGTTGCTATGACCGTGTTCTGCTAAGTCTCTTGTTTAATCACGATTTATGTTCTTGTTATTGAAATATGGTTTTAAAAAACATAGGTTTAAAAAAGAACATTTTAAAAATGTTTTATTGATTCAGAGAGAGGAAGGGAGAGGGAGAGAAACATCAATGAGAGAGTAAGGAAATAAAAGTTGGTTCTGGCCAGTTTGGCTCAGTGGATACAGCATCAGCCTGTGGACTGAAGGGTCCTGGGTTCAATTCTGATCAGGGTCACATGTTCAGATTGCAGACTTGATCCCCAGTGGGGGTGCATGCAGGAAGCAGCCAACCAATGATTCTCTCTCATCATTGATGTTTCCACCTCTCCCTCTCCTTTCCTCTCTGAAATTGAAAAAAAAAAAAAAATGGACGTTATAGTCTTGTTAGCCTGGGATTCTTTCACAAAAAGCATTTGTGAAATGAGAACAGAAACTAATTGACTTGATCATGTCACCGAACCCGTGCAGCCCACCTGGCTTGTCCCTGGAGGGCCATCCCAGCTGAGCAGCGTGCGCGTTCTCGTGTCTGGATTTTCTCCGGGGACCCCGATGCCTCCCACACCCCAGAGATGTGCACGGAGGTGAACCGCGTGCTGCGCTGTCCCAACCTAGTGTGCATGCTCCTGTGATGGGCGGGCAACGCCCCTGAACTGAAATCAGTGGGTTAAGAAATAACCATCTTTTTATTCAACTAAAGTATTTCAATGATTAACACCAGAAGTGTTTTGGGTTTTTTAAGAATATATATATGTATTTTATTGATCTCAGAGCAGAGACAATGGGAGAGGGAGAGTCATGGATTGGCTGCCTCCTGCATGCCCCCTCCTGGGGATCAAGCCCTCAATCCAGGCATGCTCAACCACTGAGCCGCACTGGGTTGTTATTTGGGAGTTTGGTGGTGGTTATCTGACCAGAAATATGCCACCGGAACCTAACCCTTGTTTACATCAACTAGCCTGTGGTGACGCTGGTTTCGTTAAATGTTTCACGTGAAGCCGCCATTTCCAGGAACCTCCTGACGCCATCTGGTGGGGACTCACCGTGTCTCCGGGGTCCGGGTCCTTGTTTGAGGCGAGAGATGCCAACGGCAGGCGTCCCGGCCGCAGCCATTGGTGTGATGTCGCGCTAAGTCAGACGTCAGTGTAGGAGTTAGCACGGGTGCAGGTTAGTTAGTGACAGGAGCTGGACTTCGTTTTCCAACAAGTTTCCAAAAGGTTATTTTATTTTAAAACACACAGTTATACAAATGCCCTCGAAGTCCTATGGTGGGCGGAGACATCGCCGAGGCTGTAGGCGGTGCCCTTCCTCTCGGAGGAGCCTGGTCTGGGTCCCGGGAGGAGAGAAAGGCTCTTGCTTCCCGCCATCGGCTCCAAGAGTCTTTGGATGATAGTAATTGTACGACCACAGTCCCACAGCTGCATGGCAGTCATTAAAGTTTAGCAGTTGCTGGTTTTCCTACTGGCACCTTACCATCTGAGGAAGAAAGAGACAGCTCATGATGTGACGCTTGAGTTTACGCTCATGCGATGTTTCAGCCACAGGCAGAGAGAAACAGCTGCCACTGTGCAGTTTACAGGCAGGGGTGGGGCCCCGGCCAGATGGGATTAGTGCCCTTCTGAGAAGAGGCACCGTAGAGCTTGCTGTTCCATGCACAGAAGAGGCCTCATGAGCACACAGGCCCATGCAGAAGCAGCGCCATCGCAGAGGGAGTGGGCACGGCCAGCGCGGAGGTGAGCCCAGTCACGTGCCCTGAACTTCCAGTCCACTGCGGTCTCACCGCAGTGACACGGCTTCCGTCACTAAGAAACCAATCCCATCACCTCGCAACCTGAGGTTTGTGTGTTATTTGCCCCTCTTACCAAATTCCAAACCGAGTTCCCAGGCCCCACATCGCGAGATTTCTCCTCTCCCTCTGCCCTCTCCTGCCCCCTCTCCTTTCACCACATGCCATCCTGCCTTCCCCTCATCCCAACAGACGCCACCGAAAGCTCCTCCGTGCAGGTTCCACAAAGGCACTCGATGGGCTCAGGTACAAAACCACAACCGGAAGCATCCTACTCCACGACCAGAGCTCCAGTCAACGTAGTCAGTTTTTTCAACTGCTGACATCGCCCTCCAGAAATCACCCGTCGGTCCTGTGAGCAGTGTCCGCTCCCTCCCCTGGCCTTTCTCTCTGCTTAGGCCCCTCCGGACTCTTCCCGGAGCCCCCACACGCCCGCCTTCCTGGTGGGATACTTCTGTGAGCCGATAGGCCCTGCAGGAGGGCAATGGCCTCCAGCTCTGACTCAGAGAGTAAGTGATGAAGGAACGGGCAGGTGCCCAGGGAGAGGACTCCCAGGACCAGAGAGGTGTGTGCTTGGTGCCCAGTGCCAGTGCCTGACCGAGCGGGCAGGCGGGGGGTGACCCCTCTGCGTCCGAGCTGCCTCATTCCCGCTTGTGGTGTTTTCGCCATTTTCCTTGCCCTTTCTCCTTGGTCTCCGTGAGAAAGTTCTAGATGGCAGAACAGTTCTCTGTTTGCATTAGACCTGGACTGTGCGTTTTGGTAAGTGCTGGTGCCGTACACACTCCCGTTTCACTCTCTGTGGACAAACATCACGTGGAAACCAAACAGTACTCACCAAGCATCTCGTCTAGCTTCACTGCCGCGGGCTCGTTCACAATATACACATAGTTGTTCTCTCTAGGAGAAAAGGCAACATAAACTGGGGGACGACAACTGTCCCTGGTCACACAGCAGGCCTAGCTTCACTCTTTACATAGTAGGACTATATTTTTTTTTTTAATATATTTTTTATTGTGGCTGGTGTTACGGATGTCTCCCATTTTCTCCCTTTCCCCCTGCTCCCAGCCCCTCCCAGGCCCCAGGTCTCACCACCCCATGCCCGTGTCCACAGCTGAGCACATCTATATATATAAAAGCCAAGCGACTGGAATAACTGGGAAGAGCAGTCGCTTGTTGTGCACTGCGGCCAGCCAGCCAACCAGCCTGATTGGGGGCGGGGCCGGCCGGCCAACCTCCCATAGCCCCTCCCCATGGCCAGCTGAACCCCACCAGTGCACGAATTCAGGCACTGGGCTTCTGTAAGTGTATAAGGTCTTTGCTTTAGCTCTTCTCGCCCAGGAAGGCGGCCTTTACAGCTTCCTGAAGGTCAATGTTAAACTCTGCTCCTTCCTGTCCTCCATGGCGTCTGCTTCCTCCTCTGGCCACGTGAGAGACACGCCGGGAGAGCTGACCCCTCAGCGTTATCATTCATACGTTCGTTCACTCAGAAGAGTGCACATCTACCTTTACACGCTCACGCGTGCTGATGTACTGTACATGTATGTGCACGTAAACCTTTCCTGTAAGTTATACATGTCAGTGGTGGGCCAGGCCAAACGCTGGCCTGCAGCACCCCCCGCTGGGCTGCACATCCCTCTGCTCTGCCCGAGGCGAGCACGGCCACTCCTCCAGGCGTGCTAACAGGGGTGTGTGTGTGTGTGTGTGTGTGTGTGCGCGCGCGCTCGGCACATGCGGCTCGATCACACATCCCTGCGTCTGCTCCCGCCGAGTCCCCGGACTTACACCTTCCTCTTCTCCACCACGCCCAGCCGCACCAGGGCCGCCAAGGCGTTCTTCTGCAGGTCGGCGGACAGGACGTCGTAACACTGCGAGGCGCCTGGAAGGGAGGGGAGGCGTGAGGGGCCGCCCTGCTCCCGGCGGAGGGAGGAGCGGCCGCCGGAGGCACTGACCTTGGTCGAGAAGCTGGCCGGTGAACGCCCTGACCCGGACCAGGTACTCCTTCTCCAGGAAGCCGTCTTTCTCCTCCTCCAGGAAGAATTTGCAGATGATCTGAGTTGGAGAGGGCGAGAGGCTCAGGCAGGGGCAAGGGGCAGCCGGCACGCGGCGCGGGGGACGGCCGCACGCCCCCTCGGCAGCGCGAGGGGCACCCCGAGGCGGCCCCCCGGGCAGGCCCGCCGCCCGGAGAGGCCTGCGCACACACAGGCTTCGGGCTCTCCCCCTTCCGTTCACTCTTTTCTTTTTAGGCTGCGGTTCTCGGGAGCGCCACGGAGCTCCGCCACTGCTCACGACTAGGAAACGAGGTGCAGCAGTGCGGACACAGCGGAAAACACGCTTTCTCACTTCAGTGGTCGCAGTTGAGTGAATTACAGGGAGCAGGGTCTCACCGGGCAGGTGCAGCCCTGGTCCCAGGACCAGGCTCCCTGCCCACCTGGCACCTGGGGAGCCTCCCGCCCCTCGGGCTGAAGGAAGTCCCGGTGGTAAGTCTTAGTTAGACGCGAGCTTCTGCGCGATGGCTGTACCTGGTAACCCTCCACGAAAGGCTTAAAGAGTCCGACTAAGAACTCGCACACAGCCTTCCCCTCCTCCGTAACCTGGATGTCCCGCGTTGTCACCTGAATGGCCTCGATTTTACTGAGCAGGTAGCAGCCTTCTTCAAAGTCCTGGACGGGGGAAGACAGAAGGACCCGCTGAGAGAGCAGCCAATCAGCCGCAGCCCTTCCCAGAGCGCGGTTGTTACGCGGTAACCAAGGAAGCGCGGGTTCTGACACTGGGTGACGGCTTTTCCCTCCCTCTGCACAGACACACTCCTTAGAGAGTTCTAGAACACGTAGACCGGCCCCTTCTCCTGAGCAGTGCCCACAAAGCCGCCCTGTCTGCCCCGGGCGCTCCCCACCCTGCACTCCAGCTCCAGCCTGGTTCTCACCAGCTGTTGCCCTGCCACTCTCTACTCTTAAAGCAAAAGGCGCACTCGTTCCAACAGCTGGACCGGGAACGTGCATGCCGGCTGGCAAACTTTTAGCAAGATAGAGTTGATTTATTTGCAGTAGCTGCACTAACAGTTCAAAGAATGACCCTCTTCTTACCAAACTTGAGATCTGATGCATGAATTCATACATGGGTGGGGTTCGGCCAGTGGGGCGGGGGGAGGGAACCCACAGGCAGTTGGCCAGCTGGGGTGTTAGGGT